AAAACTTTTGAAAGTCAGTAGAAAAACTGTAATAACAGTTTATTAGGCTCTCCAAAATGAAGAGATAAATGTAAGTCTTGCTCAGTAAATGAGTCCTTTATTGCAATGCTGGCAAACACCTGTAAGTCTCTGAATGGTAAGCAGCAGTAACTTGCTCTCTTGCATGGAATCAACTTTTTACTTTCAAAAAGCCCTCTAACAAGCTTGAGTTATATCTGAATCCACTCACATCAATCTCTGAGTGTGGGGGCCGGAAGGGGGACTCCCATTTTAGTTTCTTTCTTTCTTTTTTTTGACTATGCAGTTCAACTTTTTATTTTAATAAAATCAGAATATGCACAGCACATGTAGCACTGGCATCTAAACTAATACAATAAGCAATTACTAAAGCTACAGTGACTTGAGTTTCAATCTTCACGTTCAGCAAGTTTAAATCCTTACATGTTTTGAAACCTTATTAACTGAAAATATTGCTTGCTGATAAATCTTGCTCGAACGCTGTTGCTGAATGTACAAGTCACTGATTATGCCAATACAACAAAGATAACCATATGTTTGAGGATTGCAATGTGCCAGACATTGACTGAAAAAAAAAACCAAAAAACACACAACTAAACAAAATTCACACCACAAACATCTGAGATTCTAGACACTTCATATCAGTGTTTTGAAGTGTTTCATTAATATCTTAAGACAAGTGTATCAAAACCTTGGCATGATTTCATTTCAAGTCGCCAATTTTGTTTTTACTGACATCAGAAAGTTATGGCTACACTGCCAATGCCGGGTCTGCTTAATTTGACTTAAGAGTTTAATATGACTTAACATTAAAAGCTCACACCACCCCAAAATATATAATTTCATGAACACAGTGACATTCAACATTCAAGTGCCAGTGTTTTTGTACTGTCTTTTGGTCAAGTTTCTTTAAACTTTCAAAGAATCACTTTTAGGCTTACAAGAATAAATATTTGTCAAAATGTTCAATAAATATTACATAAAACTAGCAGCAAAAAGTATCTAAAAATCTGCCTTGTGCAATAGTTTTCTTCCCAACGATCATTCCCATGGTCCCAAATAAATTTGAGAATCTAGACCCATCCCCTTCCTAGATTAGCCATGTTCAACAATCTCCAAGAGACAAAATAAGATTGGAAGTTTAAGGACGCGCACACAAGACATATATATAAAATTCTCTGAATGTGCAATAAAATAAGTACTTTGTAAAAAGTTATAAGCAAATTGTACAAGGGCCTAAACCTAGACTAACTGAAATAGCACCATAACACATGACCTCAATACTGTCAAGTGCACCTACTTAATAAAACTTTTAGAACAAGGCACAATACACTTGAAAATCGATTGCACTTTAGGAAATTCCTGCCGTCTTCCTATGCCACTGTAAAAAGATGGAGCGTTTTGATCCCCGCATCCTGGCCACAAAAGTAGCACAGAATTCAAAGTGGGAGAGGCATTTTAGTGGTGGACAAGGCTCATCTTTGGCCAGATTTAGCATAAACAGACTACAAATACAATGGAAACCTATGCAACGAAAACTGAGTAAAACTGCACTGTAGAGCAGAATCAACACCCTTTGCAGTTACGTACATATTTCCAACCTGTGTGATCTCAGATTTCAGTTTGACTCTTCTGAACCCATTTTTACAAAGCCTACAGTAAGCCAGTTTAACATCTCAATGCGGCTTGAACAGAGCAATGTGAATCGGTATTTAAAATAAAGCCTGTTGCATTCCTGTTCATACCCTCTTGACCAAGAAACATCAACACTAGCATGCGTTATTAGGTCAAAAATCATCCAGGGCCCTAATGAGGGCTGGTCATTGCTGTGGTCAGCCATTCTACCATTTCAATTTCATTTATGGCAGGCATTTACAAAGTCTAAGTAGATGACTTCTCCTAAAAACCTATTTCGAGTTATCAGACCTTTAAGCTCTCCCTGTAATAGTATGCCCACATTTGGCCAGCTCATTAATTAACGACCTGCCTAAACGCTGAAAGAGGAATGGCTGCATCTACTTGCATTAACTTTGAAAACAGTGCTTTGAATGTGTGCATGTATTCACACATCACCTCATCGTGAATGGAATGGCTTGTTTGAAGACTATCAGGTTCTAAATACCTATCCGGGATAGAGTGAGCAAATCAGAACTTTAGCTGAATACAGTTTGCCACATTAGAAACGAATTCCATTAATACCCTTCAAGACGTTTGTTGTTTGTTTTCCCCCAATCTGCAAGTATCAAGAAGCCCCAATGCAGGCTACCGCGTATGTTTTTCCTTATACTATTTATGGACGAATCGATGATTCCTGTTAAGGTGTATCACAGCTGTGTGCCAAGGTTTGATTTTAGCCCACGTTCAGTAAATTTATTTTGTCAAAACAATTGATATCTTGAGCATTACTGAGCCAACAGGACATCAAAATAAAAAGTTGTCTAAAGTTAAAGGCACAGTATATTAACAAACGAATGATCCTCAGTTCCAAAATTATAAATGCAGTTTGGGATGGGGGTAGGCGGGAGGGGAGTTAATCCAAACTACAGCAATGAAGTCTTCAAACCACCTTCCGAACAGGGCTGCCGATTGTTCATTTCTTCTTGTGACCTTGAGCTCCCTTAAAAAAAATTTTCAGTGGAGAATCACAGCTGGTAATGTACTGTGAGTTCTTGAAGCTACACAAGGTATAGTCTGGCTGTTACATGTGGTTTCCATATTAGCTTGTTTGGCAGGGTGACCTACTGCAAAGCAGGCTCGGTTACTCCACCAGTCAACCCCCTGGGAGTTATAATTTCCGCCATATCCATCACTGTTGTAAAAGCCTCCACAGCCACCTCCACCGAATCCTCCACTGCTGCCGTGGCCACCTCCACCACTGCGGCTGCTGCTTGCACAGCTGTTGCTGAAGCTGGAACTGCTGGCACTGCTACTCTGTCGTAGTCTCTGGGACAACACCCTCCACTAAATCTGCTCTTAGGACGTCCACCACTGCTACTCTTGTAGCGGTGTTCATAAGCCATATTTTCTAACCAAGATGGCACTTCTCGTTTAGCTTCAACAAGAAGATCCAACAAATCCTTAGTAATGTTTATGTTCCTCTCGTTAAAGAATGAGGTTGCCAGGCCAAGATTTCCTACACATCCTGTACAACCAATGCAAGATACATATTCTTCAATATCACTTGACAAGTCAAAATTGATAACATGTTTCACACTTGACATGTCCAGTCCTCTTGCTGCTACTGCTGTAGCCACTAGAATTGGGCTTTTTCCTGAGCAGAACTGGTAAAGAGCCTCTTCTCTATCCCTCTGAGAGCGGTCTCCTTGGATACTTGTACATGCATATCCTTCATGGCATAAGAAATCCTCCTTTTTGGTCTCCACAAACACTAAGGTCAGTGAATCCTTGCCTGTTGCATTTAGGAGGTCAAGCAGAAATGACTGTTTGTCTGATTCTTCGACCCAAACTACTTTCTATGTGATGTTTTCAGAGGTAGAGCCAACTATTCCTACAGCCAAGAAGATATATTCATCTAATAAATCATGAGCCAGCATCTGTATTTCCTTAGGAAAAGTAGCACTAAACATCATAGTGTGGCGGACACCCTTTGGAGGCATAATATCTTGTTCAACTATTCTATGTCTCTGAGGCTCAAACCCATACCCAACATCTGATCAGCTTCATCTAACACCACGTATTTGCAAAAGTCTAACCCAATCTTTCCTCTTTCCATCATATCCACCAGACGTCCTGGAGTGGCTACTAACAAGTGGCATCCACGTTCCAAGTCTCAAATCTGCTGACCAATATCGGCACCACCATAAACCACGCAAGGACAAACTCTAGATCGGTATGAAAAATTTCTGGCTTCCTCGTAGATCTGTACTGCCAAGTCTCTCGTTGGTGCTAATATCAAGGAGATCAGGTACTGTTTGCGGCGCCCATACCTTCCATTTTCCTTCATGGCCCTCAAAGCCTCGCCTGGACCATCTGAATAAATCTGACTCAAGATGGGTGAGAGAAATGCTGCAGTTTTTCACGCCCCTGTTTGGGCACAAGCCATCAAGTCTCTTTTCTCTTAATAGGAATAGCATGCTTTTGCACTGGAGTTGGGTGAGTGTAACGAGTAAGCTCAATGTTTCCCATGATAATTTCTCCCATCTCAACATCACTGAAACTTTCAATATGTGGAGGACAGTTGTTGCCTGTGGCCTCAGCTGGAATGTCAACATATTTCTCAAGATTAATCCCAGTGTTGCCTCCAGAAAAGAGTTCCTGTCCTAAGCGTTCACTTGGTGGGAGTGGTTTTGACCAATCTTCTTCATCTGATTGGTCACACCAGCGACTGTTTCCACAACGTTCAAATTTGCCAAAGCCACATCTGTCACCACGGCTGCCAATGTTGTCATAATCACTCCGTCCACGATCATCAAAGCTTCCCCTTGATCCACTTCCACGATCACTGAAGAAGCTAGACTTCCCTCTTGAATCACTGCGAGATCCAAAACTGCTACAGGCATCCTTATCTTTGCTAGAACTCCACCCCGAACTGTCTTTATCGTAGAAACCTTTAGTAGCTTCTCGGTTCCTTAAATGAGGAGGAATATAGCGCCCTTTGCTGTCTGTACTTCCTCCACTCTGATTATCTGAAGAGTTCAGATAATTTAACTGACTAAACCAACACACAAATAAATAACCATTATCTATTCATTTAAAAAATAAAAAGAGTTAAGACCAGCAAACTGCTGGTCCAGCCCGAGGGCATTTTCCACCGCCACATGACTCATCCCTGAAGAGTACGGAGAACTCAGTGTCTTCTGCTGCTGAGCGAGTGTTTTTGCTCCACCGCCAAGGCCCTCTCATGGGAGAACTGCGGCTCTCCCCCATCTTGGTTTCTAAGTCAAAAGCTCGAGACGTTGAATCAGAGTTTGACCATTTCTTTCGCAGTCAACACGCTTAATTAATGCCCCAGCCCAACCAGGATGTTTCCATACAGCATCCTTGATAAATCCTATTTCAGCTTGGGTTTTGGTGAATTAGAACTCAGTGCTTTGTGAGTAGAGAAACACCATTTTCAGACGTTCTACAGCTGCTCTAGACATCTGTACAGTCCTTCCTTATATTTATTTACCCACCACAACCCCACACCCCTACCTTCCACCTGCCTAGTTTTATCTTCTGGAGCAAGCAGAATGTCTAGGCATTGAGCCAGGCCAGTAAGTGTACTAGTTACACGTCAGCTGACAGGTAAAAAAAGGTTAGTGATCCCTCCAGGTGAGGGCAGCTATTCTCACCTAGGGACAAGCCTCTATATTACAGTAAAGTCCAAATTCTGTTCTGATTATCTTTAGCCTTTCCTTTTGTTTTCTCTCAGGCTTATTACTTTTATTTTTTATTTTTTCCTCCAAATGGAAAAAAAAAAACATGATCAACTCAAGAGACACAGGAAGGTAAGTGCTAGGATTACAGGACAGAGCACCCTTACCTCTGCTTCTATGTAACGCTGCACAAGCAAAGAGACCTGTTAGCTTCGCTGCACTGTCCCGCCACGCCGCCCTTGTTCCCCACGATCTCGTGTGTGTGATCGTTTCTAATCAAAGTCTAATCCCAGCCTTGGGCTCCATTTTCCAGCAGGGGAGTGACTGAGAGGCGCTGGGTGGGGAACAACCATCTGAAAAGGTGACATAAACCTCAATTCCGGGAGAACCTAGCTCAGACGCATCATTCTCACATTATGGCTCCAAGACCAAGCAACAATCTCGCGAGACAACTGGGTCAATGGCGTAGGGAGCGCTTCGTGGTCCCGCCGCAAGGGGGAGCTCGTGTTTGCGGAGCCCGGCGTCTGCTCGTCGGCGTGCGCGTGCGCGTGGTCGCGTGCGCGTGCGCGTGGTCGCGGGCGTGGGCGTGGGCGTGGGCACAGACAAACGGCTGCCGGTAAAGGGTCCTTGACCGTTTGCGTTGCGCAGTTTGCGTTTGAGGCCATGGACCCCAGGTATGCTGTACTTCGACGGGCCCAGCTGCACCTGGATTTCATCCACGCCAACTCGTGAGTGCCGAGGTGGGGTCGGGGTTGGGGTCGGGGTCGGGGAGGGTCTCTGCACCGTGAAGAAACGTTCTGTTCGTCCCCCGAGGAAATACTCAACCAGTGAACTTGGTATTGCCGATTTATGGATTTATGTGTTTATTTGAGCTGTATAGGCCTTTTTAAAACGATGAAGGCATGATGAAGATCTATCCTGGGCCAGGCCAACCCCCCCCCCTTTTTAGTATTGATTACTTAATTACTTATGATTTTCTTGCTGCTATTTATTTATTTATTTGAGGGGGCGTCTCGCTCTGTTGCCCAGGCTGCAGTGCAATGGCGCAATCTCAGCTCACTGCAACCTCCGCCTCCTGGGTCCAGGCAGTTCTCCTGCCTCAACCTCTCGAGTAGCTGGGATTACAGGCTCCCACCACCATGCCCAGCTAATTTTTTGTATTTTTAGTAGAGACAGTGTTTCGCCCTGTTGGTCAGGCTGGTCTCAAACTCCCGACCTATGGTGATCCACCTGCCTCGGCCTCCCAAAGTGCTGGGATTACAGGCGTGAGCCACCACGCCCAGCTTGTCTCTTTTCTTTTTTGTGGCCAACCTAGTATAGATGACACAAAGTGGTTTCTCATGGTGCTTTTGATCGTCATTTCTCTAATGACTAATGTTGAGCATCTTTTCATGAGCTTATTGGTCATTCGTATACCTTCTTTGAAGAAATGTCTATTCAAATTCAAGTCCTTTGCCCATTTTTAATTAATTAATTAACTAATTAATTTTAAATTTTTTTAAAGGAATAGATAATGGTTATTTATTTGTGTGTTGGTTTAGTCAGTTAAATTTTGCATTCTTTGCAATACAAACTCTTCAGGGTATAAGTTGCTCACTGTCTACCTCCCATATACCTCTCATCCTTCCACAAGTTTTCCCTGTATAAAGACCAAATATCTCCTCACAATATTAACCAAACTTTAAAAAAAGAACATTAGATAGCACTTCTCTGTCTCTGGGAAAGCAGAAACTTTAACAATTCATTAGCTTTTATCTTTCCATATAATAAGTACAGAAAGCGGTAATACCTTTTTTTTTCTAGCTGCAAGGCAATAGCTTGTGTATCTTTGTTTTTTTTTTAATTGCATTTTAGGTTTTGGGGTACATGTGAAGAACATGCAAGATTGTTGCGTAGGTACACACATGGCAGTGTGCAGGCCAAAACCTTGTGGTGCTTCAGCGAACACCAAGTGGTTGGAAGGCCCCACATTTACCATTGAACTCAACTGTTTAATTGCTGATCATCAGAACCGTGATTCCACCAATCCTGCCTGACCTTAGTCTGCCTAACAGGGTGGCAATTTAAAGATGGACGGTGCCCTTCAAGTAGAGTAATTTGCATATATTGATTTCAAACTCTGTGAGTCTTTCCAAAAATGGAACCTCTCTGAGGATAGGAATTTCACATTTTAGTTGTTATTTGGTCATTTCTTCTTCTCTGCCATGCCTGTGTGCCTTTTAGAGCTTCTCATTTTGGATCCTGAGATTGCAGAGGCAAATGACAGAGGTTTGCTCTCTCATCTGCTGTTTCCCGTACAGTGAATTGTATCAGTTAGTGCTGTGTAATTCATGATGACACGTCAGGGTTTTTTTTTTGCTGGCATCTTTTGGTAATTTGGATGTACTAAGTATATGAGCTGATATCAGGGATGTTCCACATTTGAAACCACAGAAATGGAGGTATAAAGAAAGCCAGGGAAGGCCAGCCTTGCTGGGGGACAGACAGTTAAACAGGCAACGTTCTGCACACACTCAGTCTTTATCTCTCTATAGAGAATGATGTCAAGTGGGACAGGGTGGAAGAAATAGTTAAAAGGTAGCTGAGGTGGAAGACAAATGAAGAAATAATCGTTTTGAGTGAGTTTAAGGAAAATGCTCAGTGGGGTGCTGGAAGGACTGAATTTTCTCTCAGAAAAATTCCTCGGCCTCAGTTTTGTATGGATTTTGTGGCTGCTGCCTCACAGCCTCTGTTCCCCCAAACACCCTGTGGTAGCCACTTCCCCAGTGCCGTTTTCAACTGGTGGTGTAGTAACTTAACAAGAGTGACAGCAACATGAAGTAACAACAAAGATAAATAGGAATTGAAGACTTCTCAGCTCCTCTAGGCAGATTGGTTGGTTGATTTGTTTGTTTTGGGAGACAGGGTCTTGCTCTGTGGCCCAGGCTGGCGTGCAGTGATACCATCACACTTCTCTGCAGCCTTGAACCCCAGGGCTCAAGTGATTCTCCAGTCTCAGCCTTCTAAGTAGCTGGGGCTACAGGGACGCACCACTATCTGACTAATGATTATTATTTTTTTAAATTTTTAGTAGAGATGGGGTTTGGCGATGTTGCCCAGGCTGGCTTTGAACTCCTGAGCTCAAGTGATCCTCCCACTTTGGCCTCCCAGAGTGTTGGAATTACAGGCATAAGCCACTGAGCTCAGCCCAGGTAGATTTGTGTTTGAGACTTCCTCTGCAAAAGGAGTGATATTTAAATTTCTCCCTTTACTATTCCTCCATGTCCAATCCATCAAGTGCATGCTTTCTCTAAATGTATGAAATCATCTATTTCTCTCTGTCTCCAGTGCTATTGATTTTAGCCCAAGCCACCGTCCCTTTTCCAGTCTACTCCACACAGCCTCTTAACTGGGTTCTCTGCTTATCATTCTGGCTGCTTGATGGTTTATTTTCCAGGAAAGCTGCCAAAATGAGCTTTTAAATAATGTAAACCAGATTATGCCTCAATTCTTGAAACACTGCAGTGGTTTCCAGTTGTATGTCGGCCAAGTACAAGCTCTTCTATGTGGGATAGGAAGCCCTGTATGACCCAACCATGGCCTCATCTCAGCCTGTTCTCTGCATTTTGCCATAGGCAGAGCTGGCTGGTCTCCTTAGCTCTTTTTCTGCTTCGAGGGTCTTTGCCTCTCTTGCTCTTGCTAGAAAACTTCCACCCTACTCTGCAAGGGACTGAATTCTCTCATTCTTCAGGACTCCGTTTAAATATCTTTTACCAAGAGATGCTTTACCTACCACCACGCCCTTTCTCACCAGTTACTCTTTTCCATCAATACTACTAAGTTAGCACCCAATCCAAATCTGTAATATCATCTTCATAAGTTTGTTTACCTGTGCATTTTCCATGTACCCTGCCAGCTTGAGCTCCAAGACATCAAAGACCCTGCCTGTATACACTGCCCTGTGGTGTGCAGTGGAAATCTCTTGCATGAACTAGCAAAAATTCCTATGACGTTTTTGGTCAGAATTACTGCAGTTGCTCTTCTGAAGGATTGTTTATGTATTGAACTTCTGCATATTGAGTCATGTATTTTAAATTCCCTAGAAGGGCCTGTGATTTAAAGCCCTGATTCGGTAAAGCATATCATACTTCTCTTTGACATTATTTTACATTTTTCTAATGGTTTTTTTTGGAGTGAAGGACATCTTTTTGTAATAACAACATTTTAGTAGTTTTTTTTCTTAATTACAAAATTTAAAGTTTACTTGACTCAAGAGACTTTTAATTAGCCTTGGTATTTGAAACTCCAAGGGAAATTTTCTCTCTCTGCGTGTGTGTGTCTGTGTGTGTGTGTGTGTGTGTGTGTGTGTGTGTGTTTTAAAAATAAATTTTAAGCTGAAGTGTTGTCCTGTGGCCTGAAGTGTTTAGAGACTCTGAGACCTTGCCAATGATGCTTTCTCTTGTACAGAAGAGCAGGTGTGTTTTTGATAAATGAGGCTCTCTTGCTTCTGTTACCTATTTACTAAGTATAGAAAGAAAATTGCATACTGAATATCCCCTTAATGCTGTGATAAGGTTGCTGATTGAAACATCCGCATCAGGAAATGGAAAGCAAGCCTGGGACTCTCAAGGTGGTGTGATTCCACCCTCAGATAACTCCAAAATGTTGTAATTACTGAAGGCTGTCTGGAATGTTCTGTTACCGAGGACCTGGCATTCAAGGGTACAGGAGAGAGTGACCTGAGGCCATTTCTAAGGTTATTTAAGGAGCAGGCTTTTCAGCGGTGGAAAGATTCCACAGAAAACCACAGATTGGTGAGGCATGCAGGGGCTTCCTGCCAGTTCCTTGGCCTGCAGATGGAGCCTTTTGGCCTTTTAGTAGGCAAGGATTTTGATCGGTATTCTTCAGAAATAGTTTGTCTTTAAATAATACAATTTTAATGAAAAATCATCTCAGAAAAACCTCACTTGAAAACATGCTTATAAAGTAATATTAAAAGGTCAAAGTTTAGGCCAGGCATGGTAGCTCATGCTTGTAATCCCAGCACTTTGGAAGACTGAGGTGGGCCGATCACCTGAGATCGGGAGTTCGAGACCAGCCTGACTAACATGGAGAAACCCTGTCTCTACTAAAAATACAAAAGTAGCTGGGCATGGTGACACATGCCTGTAATCCCAGCTACTTGGGAGGCTGAGGAAGGAGAATCACTTGATCCTGGGAGGCAGAGGTTACAGTCAGCCGAGATTGCGCAATTGCACTCCAGCCTGGGCAACAAGAGTGAAACTCTGTTTCAAAAAAAAAAGGTCAAGAGTTTATTTTAATGATACGTACTGAGGCTCTTAAGTTTTAATTTTATTAGAAGTGGACAGGATATTTTGGCAAAAGTGTTTTTAACCCTGGCTTCTTAATGGAGGGCATCTAGTTCTGCATCTTGACTGCGCTAAGAGAGTTGTTTCTAGAGTAACTTCTTAACTCACTAGACGTCTGGAACTAGAGATCATTTGTCTACAAGTTCTTGAAGCTTTTACATTGATTTCACACCGGCTTTAACTTTTCGTTTTCTCTCTATTTCTTCACCAGCACCACTCACAGTTTTCTTTTTGGAGCACTGGCTGAATTGCTGGACAATGCAAGGTAAGGTTTATCTCTGAACAAAGGTTACTGAGGGAATTTCATGACATAACTCTTGTCTAGTTACATGTGAAGAAAAAAAGATCATGTCATATTTTCCCATCTGGAATGTTTTGTGACTTGATTTCCCATAAAATCAAGGTATTCTAGAACAAGGATAGTTGAAAGAAAGAATTATTCACCTTTAATTAATTTTTATGTATGATCAAACTTGAAGTCTGTTTTTACGTTAATAACCATTTAATAGTACATATTCATTCAGTTTTTTTGCATTACATGTCAGCGTACACTTGTCTTGAGAATGTACACATGGATTTGGGCATTTATTGAAGTCTGTGTTGAATTTCATTGTATGGTTAAGAAAATAACTAACTGTTGATCTCCAACTATGTATCAGACATACACAAACACTTTGTATATGAGCATTATGTCATGCATCCTTAGGGCAACACGCTGAGATGGGAATTAATATCCTAGTTCCACATATGTGGAAATTGATCCACAGAGAGATTAGATGTTTTATTCAATGTAACATAATTTATATTTGGCAGAGCTAGCATTCAAATTTGGGCGATCTGTCTGCATGCAGAACCCCACTGCCACATTTTACTGTCTCCAATATAGATATTGATGATGAAGGAACCCCTTAAATAATTTAAGTTCTATTCAGTAGTTTATTTGTGGGGCCTTGCAAGGGTCTTTATTTATTTATTTAGTTAGTTAAATTGAATAGAGCACTTGACTTGATTTCTATTGGTATTCCGTATAATAGAAGACTTTTTCCTACCTTTTCCTGGGAAAGCGAAGTCCATCCAGGAAGCAGTATGCAGCTGTTGGATCAAGGATCTCAGTAGGAGCCTCCATTCCCTGCCACAGGTTGACAGCAATATTTTAGCTTTTTTGCATGTGTTCTTCATTTTTTGCTTTAGATGGGAGATGCGCCTATTGACAGTGTGACCACGAAGTGTAGTCAATGAACCAATCACCCAGAAATTCCTGCCTGGCACTGAGTAGAAAGTCATTATCTCCTCCTTTTAGGAGGCTCTCTCTCTGTTGAACTGATGGGATCATAAAAAGGGAGAGAAGAGGAGAAAAAGAATAAAGTCTGTTGTTCAGAGCCGTGAACTCAGCTTGGGAGGAGCTAATAAGGTGGGAGCCAAGAGAGATGAACACTTGTGATTAGTTTCCCTCAAGGAGCTTAGTGTTGTTACTGTTGCTTCTGCTCAAAGCTTGGAACCAGCAGGGTTCCTCCTGTGTCATTGGTCCTGCCTCCTACTGTATGGCCCACTTTCAGCAACTTGACATCTGCAAGTCTGAAAGAACACATTTGCTATTTTTGCAACTGTCTTTTCTCCTTTGAAGTTGTTTCTTTCTTTCATTCAACAAAGAGGACAAGTAAAATCAGAATGTGGAAGAAATAGAACAATGGAACCAGTTCACCTAGTAGAGGGTGACTGGGTGATTAGGAAAGAAAGATCAACTTCAGACACGGGACTGAGAGAAATGTGATAATAAAGTGATCCTTAGAGCAGCATTTGTAGTCTGGCAGCCCCTTGACCAGGTCCAGCCTGTCTTATGTGTGTTTGGCTCATAGTGAAAGTTTGTATAGTGTTTATAAAGTAAAGGAAGGGAGGAAAAAGGAATTGTTTATAAGGTTTAAGATGCTGGAGATACCAAATAAAAAATTGGGCCCTCTGCCTTCCTTGAAAGATTAGGAGAAGTAGCAACCTCAAGACCACATTCCTCCGTGGGATCAGGGGCTGGAGGGGAGTAGCAGGTGCTCTCTTGGGACCAGCCCGTGCCTTCGGCTTTGCCCCATTTCCAGTTTTCCCCTATGGACAGCCTCAACCTTCAGTCTCTCTTTCTTCTTGGACATTTGAGTTTTCCACCACTGCTTAGATGCTAGTATTTGACATCAAAAGCAACTGTTTGACAGACTTGCTCAAGATACTAGTTGGTCTTATGAAGGAGAGCTTTAGGAAGTCCCCATGTTATTCTAAGAAATTACTTTATATCATTGTATTTAATATTTTAATGATTTCCTGTAGTTTTAAAAATTAGCATGGAAAGATATTAAAAGAATATTGTAGAGAGAGGAGAAGAATATGTGCTGGTGTAGGAAGGATTTGTTAGGGCTCTCTTTCTAATACAGTAGCTCTTCCGAGAGGAAGCATCCTGGGCTAAAGAACAAAGATTACTACAAAATGTCTTAATATAAAGGTGAGTTATTTTATGCCTTAATTCGTGGAAGTGCTGCATGAAAAAACTCTCTCTTTAAAAACTTTGATTTCAGCACAGTGGTGTTTATTAAGCATTTATTGTGTACGTGGTACTTTGGGTAATGCATGGTTATATAATGGAGATAGTGATACCTGTGTGTTATGGAACTATGGTAAGGATTAGAAGAGAGTTTTCACAAATAACATCATTCGGTGCTTACTTGACGCATAGGAGGTCCTCAAGAAATGGCAGTGGTAACTGCAGAATGTTGTATAGGGAGGGCTGAGAAACAGCGATTGGCTAGAGGAAGAAGCTATGTGGGACTAGCTTCTAGGCTTGTGGAGCGAGTACAGTGTACCTACTCAGATTTGTTTGGGCTAGTTTTGGGTTCAGAGCTGATGGAAACTGAGAGAGACTCAGGTTTCCTCACCAGAGTTACGTGGTTGCTGCTGTTGCGCTGAACTTCGTGGTAGACTCGCTCCTTCCTTAACATACCTTCTTCCTCATCAGCGAAGACTTCCTTGCCTGTGCCTTCCTCCTTTCTCTCACATCCACTATATTGAAGCCACAGTCTTCCGGCCCCTTCTCCTTTCCTATTAAAAATTTTACTTTTGAAAGTAATTGTAAAATGCAAAAATAATACCTGCAAATTTTAGAAAATGGAGAAATTATTTTAAAAAAACTAATCTACATCAGTATACTCATCACCTAGAAGAGTGGTCAGCATCCTTTTCTGTAAAAGACTGGATGGTAAATATTTCACCTCTATGGGATATAGGGTCTCCTCAACTCTGCCGTGGTAGTGTGGAGGCAGCCTTAGGTACTATTAATGAATGGGCATGATTGTGTTCCAATAACACTTTATTTGCAAACAGTTGATGGGCCGTTTTGATCCATGGGCTATAGTTTTCCAAGTTCTAACATAGAGAAGACTCCTATTAACATTTGGATGTCTTTCTTTTTCATATATGTTCTTTAAAATGTCTTCTTACAGTGCCTAATAATTTGATTTTTCTTTTCTTGTTTTGAACTAAAATGTGAAAAAGATTCCATGACTTCTGGATTATTCGCCAGCCAGCTTTTTTAAAAAAATTATATCCATTTTGTTAGTTTTTTGTGTAATTTCTACTTAATTACATCTCTTTTTTCATGTGTCTGAGTGTCAGTCTTGAATATTCTCAAATTATGACTCAAATAATCACAGGTCTTATGACATAATAGCACAGTTGAACATTTTATAAATTGATTTTGAAGTAATTTAAGTGAATTTTTGTATTGTTTGATATCTGACAATAAATAGATTATACCTCATGTAAGCAGTTCATTTCATTTAAAGCACTAATATTTTCATATTGTTTCCAGAGATGCAGGGGCTGCAAGACTTGATGTCTTTTCAGGTGAGCAGATTTTCTTTCTTCTTTTGTTTTCTTCTAATGGAAAGCCATAGTTATTTTGCTTGTATTTTATTTCACGAAATAAAACTACGTTCTATAGAATTTCAATGTAATCGAAGTGCTTTGTGGGTACAGTGACCCTGTGGGTAGCCAGGGTGAGGAAAGTGTACTCTGAGAGACCGATTGTTTGTGTGCTAAAGGACCCATTTACAAAAGTAGATCTTTCAGAGTTTTGTGAATGTATCAGAGTGATTTGGAGCACTCAATTTACCTGCCATGAGAAATAGTTTTATTTTTAAAAGCGTATTAACTTACTGGCTTTTCATAATGAAGCATACATCATTCCCAGCTTACTAGTTTTAAAGTGTATAAGTGCATGTGCAGTACGAGGGCTAGAAAATCCAAACCAAACCTGTTTCTTTGCTGACTTTATTTGTAGTCATTAAATATTTATTGCTCTCATTAGTTATGTCATTAGACTATGATGCTAATGAAATTAGGTTCTGCGATCCAGCTCTGTGGGTAACACTAGCTAGAGAAATGCCCAGGTAGTCACGCTGCATTCCTGCCACGTACCTGTCCGCTCTTCTACGGTAGCGGCTGTTGGTCACAGGTGATAGGATACGGTCCGTGATCTAAATCCGTATCTCTGTTTAAAAAGCACCTCAGTTCACTGCGAGTTCCGAGCCAGAGGTGTGCTTATGCTTCATGAGAGAGGTAGTCATGGACCTCTTGAGGTGACTGGGGAAACAGTAAATGACACTCTTCATCTCCTTCTCCTCTCCAGGTCCTGAAAAACTTGAAAAATCAAAAAAGAGTCAGCCTTTATTGCTGATAAAGGTTAGGCTGGAGTATGTAGCTTAGTGTGAGAGCACATGGACTTGCAGAGCAGATCCCGGAATCACGTGGTCTCACTGGCCTAGTGGAGTAGGGCTTCCTCTGAAACTCCTCTGCCCTGGGACAAGGGATCAGGACTCATCCTATCCACAGGCAGCTCTCTCCAAGAGGAAAATACCGGGTCAGAACTGAGCCTCCCCAGTTTATTCTTCTCTAAATGACCAGTAGGTGAGTGAGCTCCCATCTACTGGGGAAAAGTGAGTGAAGGCACAGAATAGGGCCCCTCTAGTAAGAAAAAGTCATCTTCCCTTCCATATCCAATCATATCTAGTAAAATAGGATGAACACTCTGAAGGAAGAAATTATGCCTCATATTAAGGGGCTAGGGTTTGAAATATGGATGTGATTTTTGTCAGATACTCCAGGAAGAAAAGAATATTCCTGTCTAAATAATAATTATGAGAAAACAAATGAAGGTAGGCTAGTTCACAGATTCATTAACTTACTCAGTAATAATTTATTGTCTATTATTTAGGGTGCTGGGGATAGTGCACTCAGCGAAATGTTGAGGTCTGTGTTCCCCTGGACCATGTATTCTAATGGGGAGAGAGAGACAATACAGAAATGAACGAATACGTAATATACCAGGCAATGACAAGGGCCAAAAGGGAAAACAATAAAGCAGGATAAGAGAACAGAGAGTGATGGAAGGGTATACAGTTTTTCATATGGTCGTCTCAGAAGGTTTCCTTAAATAGCTCACATACCAGCAAAGACCTGAATGATGTAAGGGAGGGAGCCACACAGATTCCTCGAGAAAAAGCACTTGGCGAACAATGCTGAGGCTCGGTTGGTTCACGCTAAGTGTCAGAACCAAATGAACGAGCATCTTTAGTACCTTTCTAAGATGATTCTGCAGTCAGTGGACCACTGAAGAACTTGGAGCAGTGTCGGTTTTCTGAGTAGACATGTGCTCTTCTCTTTTTTTAAAGAAAAATACTCATTCCAGAAATACCTTACAAGATAGTCTGGAGAAGGATGAAAGCAAGGATAGAGGGAGGTATGGCTGTGGGAGTTACCTAGGCAAGATTTCATGAGAATTAGCATAGAGCGATAGTACTGGAAATGGAGGAGGAGGAGGAACAGATGTCAGCTGCATTTCATGCAGAGCACATGCACAGTTGATGGAGGGTTCAGAAGACTTATCCATAGTCACAAAATACAACAGATGTCACCAGAATCCACATATTCTATTCTTTGGGGTTTGTAACTGGACACCAGCAGGGAATGATTATTTCACCCTACTTTCCCTAAATACTCGGTGTCATCATAAACAAACAAAATAAGATCTTGACCAATTTGAGATAAAAGTGGCACTTTTTTTTTTTTTTTTTTTTTTTGATATGGAGTTTCACTCTGTTGCCCAGGCTGGAGTACAGTGGCACCATCTCGGCTCACTGCAACCTCTGCTTCCCAGGTGCAAGCAACTCTCCTGCTTCAGCCTTTCGAGGCATGCACCACCACGCCTGGCTAATTTTTGTATTTTTATTAGTGACTGAGTTTCACTGTGTTGGCCAGTCTGGTCTGGAACTCCTGACCTCCATCGATCATCTGCCCACCTCGGCCTCCCAAAGTGCTGGGATTACAGGCGTGAGCCGCCACGCCTGGCTGACATTTGTTTCTTTTTGTGTTTATGAATATATTGTGAAAAACTGAACTTAGTTCAGTTTGGTTTAAAATTACCTAATCTTAGTTTAGGGACATGGGAGAACCTGGAAACCATCATTCTCAGCAAACTGACAAAAGAGCAGAAAATCAAACACTGCATGTTCTCATTCATAGGTAGGTGTTGAACAATGAGAACACATGGACACAAGGAGGGGAGCATCACATGCTGGGGTCTGTCGATGGGAAATAGGGGAGGGACAGCAGGGGGTGGGGAGTTGGGGAGAGATAGCATGGGAAGAAATGCCAGATATAGGTGATGGGGAGGAAGGCAGCAAATTACCCTGCCATGTGTGTACCTATGCGACAGTCTTGCATGTTCTTCACATGTACCCCCAAACCTAAAATGCAATAAAAAAATAAAAATAAAAAATAAAACCCAAGGGTGGTGACCAGATGCCAACATATTAAAGTACCATTTCCAACAACGGATTAAAAAAAGAAATCTTGGTACAATTATTATGTGTCAATTAAAGTAAAACTTGAGAAAACATGTACCCGTTGATCATTAAATGCAAAGTGTTTCCACTCAGACTCCCCAAAGAAAGGAGACTGTGGTACAGTGTTGAAAAAGGGCCACTTATACCTGTGATCCTGGATAGTCCTCTTCCACATTTACTCTGGGCTTGGCCATGTGACTTGCTTTGGTCAATGGGACATTGGTAAGAATGACACAAATGAAGGCCCGGAAAGCACTTGCATGTTGAGGCTTGCCTTTTCTAAGCTGTCAACATGAGAATAAGCCTGGGCTAGGCTGGTGGAGACGTGGTTCAGTCACTTCTGCCCTCTCTCCAGCTGCCAGCACCAAACACTTTACATGTGAGTGATTCCACCAGGTGAACCAGCTTTGGGCCAATCCACCAGCTGGCTGAAAAAGGATACATGAGCCCCGGCAAGCCCAAAGGAAAAACAAGCCAGCTGAGCCCAGCCCAAATTGCCAACTGACAGAATCACCACCTAATAAATTATTATTGATCTAAAAAAATTACCTAATCATGTTAAAATATTTTTTATTGAGGCAAGCCATCATATGGCTATCAATCTAGCCCAAAATCCTTATGCATCAATACATAGAATTCGTCTCGAGATACAAAGTTCATTTAGGATTGGACCATTTTACAATCTATTTACTGTGGCCTTGAACTACTGTCAATCTTAAATTTCTGTCTAGTAATTTGAAGGCTGTAACATACACATGAAATATGTCTCACCATGGCGTTTTATATGTTCGTGGTATTAGTTCCAGGAAACATGGATATGCATTCAGTACCTATATTTTAGTGCTTACTAAATGCCAGGCACCAGGCTAGGTGGTGGGTTTACACTCTTAAGGGACGGACAGTCTAGTGTGGAGCCCATGAGAAATGTAGTGGGTAGCTGTACTTTGGTGGGTACAGGGCCTGTAGCTTTCCTCATATCTCTGAGGTAACTGTGTTCCAAAAACGTGTAGGAGCCACTGAAAGACAAATAGATACATGAACAGGTATTTTAATACACTACAAAGGGGATATTAATTATGGGCACTAAGGACATGGAAGGATTAGAAAACACTTGCTAAAAGAAGTCTTATATGAACTAATTGAAAGAGAAAATAGGCATTCGTCTGGTGAGTGAAGCATGGAAAGGATGGAAGGGCATTACGTACAGCAACTGGAATATGGAGAGAATGTAGAAAAAAATGTTGGAGACGTTAAAGATTCATTCAAGGGGAGTATTTGTGCGGGAGTGGAACGTGGCAGCATGGGCAGGTGAGGGGAGGACAAGAGATGGGCTTGGAGAATTTTCCAGAGGGCCAGGTCATGGAGGGCAAACAAGATTTGTTAGGTGGTTGGATTTTATCCTGAGAGCAGTGGGAAGCTGTGGAGAGGTTTTAAACAGGAGAGCAGTGAAATGCATAACTGATAGAGGACTAGATGCACCCTTTGACTGTAGGGAAGCAAGAAGTTAGGGAGCTGTTGTGATCCAGAAGAGAGATGATGGTTTCCTGAAATAAGACAGTATACTGGGGAAAGGGAAAATTTAAACAGGAGAGTCATTAAGGCAGTGAAATTGAGAGGGCTAGATAGTCGCCCGTGTGTGGGCTGAGGAGATGGAGAATGTAATGGTGATCCTGAGGTTTTGACTTGGATGACTGAAGCCAAGGGGCAGGGTGATGCCATTTATTGAACAGGAAACAAGGAGGAGGAGAAAGTCTAATGTGGGAGGAGGTGTTTGATTGTATTGGACGTGCATAATTAACAGATGATAAAACATACCTGAAATTCATAGTGTTAAGGAATTGAAATAAGACCAGCTTTCAGAGTGGATAATGGGGAGTATTAAATTTTGAGGCTATTCTTGTTTGTCTTTAATTCCTAATATGGATTTACAAAAAAGGGAGGTACTGTAGTATATGTCTGCTAGGAATCTTGGGTCTCTCCCAGCCATTTACCAAAGGAATATTATTCTCTCTGCAAGCTCCTTCCATGAGAAACGTATACCAAGAAGTGCAAACTCAGCTGTGGCTACTATGCAAAGCTGCCCAAGGCTGAACCTGGTTTTGCATTAGGTGGTTCCCAATCCTGGATGAACATTAGAATAAATGAGGGGGATTTTAGAAGAAAATGCCAGTTTCGGAACCCTATCCAAGATCAGTTACGTTAGAGTATCTCTAGTTGATTTCAATGTGCAACCAAGATTGAGCGTTACTGCCTTTATGCAGAGAGCTCAACAGAGTTGGAGTTCCCTCATGGAACAGTGAAGAAATGTCAGCCCTAGAGGGAGGACTGAACAGAAAAAAATAACTAAAAGGCCGGGGGGAGGGATGTCCTGGCATAGAAGTTAAGGTAAGCAGAGGACTAGGCAGAGAGAAGGAACTGGGAAAATGAAATGGTAGGTCAGATCCTAAAAGTTTACAAAGAAGTAAATTAGAGGAGGGGGGATCAGAAGTGGGCACATGACCATGAAATTATAAATCCAGAAAGACTGAGTATGTTTTATAAGTATGTATTCATGTGCTCTCTTGAAACTTACTTACTTTTTAAAATATCAAAAGATCAATTCTAGGTGACTTTTTTTTTTTTTTTTTTTTTGAGACAAGGTCTCTTTCTCTGTTGCCCAGGCTGGAGTGCAGTGGAATGGAGTTCATAGTTCGTAGCTCACTGAAAACTCGAAGTCCTGGACTCAAGTGATCTCCTTGCTCCAGCCTCCCAAGTAGCCAGGATTATAGGCATGTGCCACCATGCCTGGCTATTTTTTTATATTTAATTTTTAGTGGCCATAGAGTCTCACTGTATTGGCCAGGCTGGTCTTGAATTCCGGGCGTCAAAGCCATTCTCCCTACTTGGCCTCCCAAAGTGCTAGGATTACAGGCATGAACTCCCACGTCTAGTCTCTAGGTGACTTTTGAACAGAGAGGTTGACTTAATAAATGTGCTGGAAAGAAAGCATTTCAGTGATGGCCTGAGGGTAAGGTGAGGGTGATAGGACATGGAAGGGGCCGAAGGGAGGGTTTACAAAGGGTCAGGAGGAAACATGTGAGGTGTGGATATATTCACTGCTGTGATTGTGCTTATGATTTCACACATGTATGGGTATATATATGTTAAAATTTGTCAAATTGTGTACTTTAAACGTGCAGTTTTTTGTGCATAAATTATTCCTGAATAACAGTTATTTAAAAGAGAGAAATGTGCTAGAACTCATATGTCCAACTGCTGAAATTATTATCAGGGCCAGTTTACAAACTGGGCACTAAAATTAGTCTCATTAGTTTTAGTTACACCTTTCACCTTGTTTATTTACTTATTTTAGAGACGAGGCCTTACTACCTTGGCCAGCCGGGTCTTGAACTGCTGGCCTCAAGTGATCGTCTTGCCTTAGCCTCCCAAAGTTCTGGGATTACAGGCATAGATCACCACACCCAGCCTACCTGCAACATTTTTGTAAACCAAAGATTAATATTATGTAATTTAATGATATCTTTAAATCATCGAAATTGATTTTAAATAACTTAACCATTTTCAAAAATCAAGAGGCAAATATTTGCTCTCATGAAGAAACAAATGGCTCTTACGGGAATTAACTGCTTAGAAGGGAACCTGATGGATTTAATAAGACTGGCCTAGATTTCTTTTATAATTATGCTTTGGTGGAAAGGCACAAAGATTGGTCAGTTTGAGAGAGGGGTCCTGGGGTCACTTCACCATTTACCTTTGTCCCTTCCCACAGAGAGGAAATGCCTGACGTTTAAAGGACTGGTCCAGTGCCAGAGCAGAATATATCCTGCGGTATACGTAATTTTTTCACATGTAGATGTTTTATCTTAATTTAAAGCCTCTATGTTCCATGATTGTTTTTCCCCTGCAGTTTCTTGTGAAGCTGTAGCCAAGACTCCACTCTGGGCTCCATCTTTGTGCCATAACTCTGTCACTGCGGCTGCATTGGAGGAAGATGAATAATTATTCTAGCAGCATGACATTCTGACTAACAAATTAAGCCCGATATTTATTAGTAATAACTGCTTTCTCTTACAGTGGATAATGAAAAACTGCAGGGCGGATTCATGTTGTGTTTCCTGGATGATGGATGTGGCATGAGCCCTGGTAAGTTAATTATCTAGATACCTAACTGGCTGTTAAATGAAACAGTCTGAAAACCTACAAATAAATAAAAATAAATTGAGCTATCTATTCAAAAACAGGTATGAAGCTATTAAGGAAAATGAGCCCCAAACTTGCTGTTGAACTTTTTAGGGTTAACTACCCCAGCTGGCAGAGTGAATTGATTGTGACCATCTAAACCAAGACAAAAAGTAAATGTATATAAATATTGTCAGAAAACTGAAAGGCACATGTTCCTGATTGTGAGAAACAAGCATCTGGGAATGAATGGAAGACAGTCGCTGAATGGACTCAGATTGTTTTTAGCTTGTACTTTAGGTATTGCTTGTGAGAGCCCCAGGAAGCTTCTTGTGCCTTTAGGCTATTTTTAATTTTGCTTAAGCTTGAGGTAGAGGTTTTTAGCCTTGTTTTTTCCTCTGCATTTTGAAAGATTTAGTTGCTTCAAATGAATGTTCCCATCACAATGAAAGCATCTACACTAGATCTGATGACTTACCTTTGTGTATTCAAGGTTAGCACAAAGCCAGCACATTATGGGTCCACAGTGTCTGTGTGCTGTGAAAGTGAAATGTTACTCCATCTGAGGGCATTGGGTTATTTTAGATATTGTATTCCTGAATTCTTTAAACACTGTGTGTTCTGCAAGCTGGGGTTTTTGACGACTAGATTTAAAAAATGATGAGAGAGTTCAGGTAATATGGAATGGTCATGGTCAGTTCTATAACCAAGGAAAGGATGCATCAATATGCTCTGATACTGATTTGCTGATAGAAGCTGAGAACTTGAAGTACGGCAAATGTCTTCTTTCAGCTCTGACGTTTCTTCTTGGTCTGGGTCGTTGAAGAGTGTTTATTAACAAGTTTAGATAGACTGTTTCACCAGTTTTGTTCTGACTTTGGGTAATTTTGATTTTTCCAGTTCATTTTGATTGAAGGTATTCTTGGTCTTTTAGTGTTTAAATGAGAAAGAAGAGTTCGTAACAACAACAACAACAAAAACCCATGCTGAAAAACGTAATTTTTTACTGCTAGCCTGAATATTAAGTTCATTTTTTTTAAGTTCCTAAGATAAATGAGAGAATATATGTGATGTCTTCTAAGGGAATTTCTTATGAAATGAAGCAACTCTTTTTATATGAGTCATGAACAAAATGTTTGAAACACAGACAAGTGATGAATACTCAGACCTTCAGAAGAAACTCACACTTTAGTTACATAGTAGCATCAGGTAGTAATAAAGATGAAGGAAGATGACTGAAAGTAGAATCTATCGCTCCTTCAAACTGAGATCAATCTTGACCTATAGAAAATGACTACAGTACTTTCCGGGTTTTTTTAAACAAATCTCTAGTCTTGCCCCTTTGTAGTCCATTCCCCACGCAGCATCCTGAATGATTTTCTTTCTTTCAATGTACATTTTATCGTATCATTTTCCTGCTGAAAATTCTCCGTGGTTTCCCATTACTTGATAAAACTTGTACTCCCAGCATTGCTTGCAAGGCTGTACATTCTTTGGCCCTGTGCACCTGTTCGGCCCTCTCTTATTCTTCCCACTTCCTCACTGACAACACGCCAGCCACACACGGCTGGCCCCTCATCGTTGGAATCCGTCTCATGTTAACCATCTGCCAGTGGCCTTCCCTGATCGTTCCGCCTGCAGGCGACATTTCTGTTAATTCTCTGTTCTTCACTTAATACTCTCATTCAGAAATGATCTCGTTTGTTAGTTTAATTTCAGTCTGTTTCTCCTACCACAACATAGTGTTGTCCAAGGCAGGAGCTATGCCTGGCCTGTTCAGTGTTTTGTGCCTATGCTCAGAACCTGGCAACCATCCATGTGCATTCATGTACTGTATAATGAACACATGGGATTTGGTTCAGAGCTATACTCTTGTCTGTACCAAGACTTACAACTTTGGGTTATAATCCTAGCTGTAGCATCTGTCAGCTCTGTGACCTTGAGCACGTTTCTTAAACTCCTTATACTTACATTTGCTCATCTGTGACATGCAGGTCATAACAGTAATAATACCTTTCTTGTTTTGTTGTAAATGTTAATTAAGCTGTGCATGTAAGTTTATAACATAGTACCTAGCATGTACTAAACAAATAATAGGCTGGGCGTGGTGGTTCACACCTGTAATCCCAGCAGTTTGGGAGGCTGAGGTGGGCAGATCACAAGGTCAGGAGTTCGAGACCATCCTGGCCAACATGGTGAAACCCCATCTCCACTAAAATACAGAAAAGTAATAAGCTGAGCATGGTGGTACGTGCCTATAGTCCTAGCTACTCAGGAGGCTGAGGCAGGGAAATTGCTTGAACCTGGGAGGTGGATGTTGCAGTGATCTGAAATCGTGCCACTGCATTACAGCCTGGCGACAGAGCGAGACTTCATCTAAAACAAAACAAAACAACCAAACAAAAAACCAATAAATGTTAGCTAATATTATGGATATCCTCACCTAATGCCTAATCCCTCATAAGAACACATCATAGAAAGTCCAGTTAGTTTCAGAGAGGCAGAGTATTTGGTGGCTTTTACATACCTCATACCATGTGCCACTGAACAGTAGCATGTCTGTACCCAGACTAAGACGGGTCCTCAGAACAATTCTACAGCATGTATTCAGGTAGGCCAACAAGAAGAGCATTCTTGGTCCTCGAGGTTGGTATTAATATATTCTGAAGTCCAAAGGATTACTCTCCAGAATTCCAGAATACCTGGAGAAGTCAGGAGAATGACTTGGAAAGTCTAAAATGATTAGCCTTCCCTCCCAGGAAGTAGCAGAGCAGAAGCCATCCTGCCCCTCTCAGTCTCACGTGGGCCTGGTTAGGGCTAAATTCGTGGGGGAATTACTAGTGGTACAAATAATTATAAAACTTAGAATTTGTTAGCACCCACCAAGTGCCAGGTTTTGTGTTTGGGATTTCACAAATCCATCATCTCCATTAATTTGTTTCATTTATCTTCACCAGCAACACCGTGATATAAGTATTAAGTAGTTCCCTAGTACAGACTTTTAAAGTCTACCCAAGGTCACATGGTCAGGTCTGTCTCATCTCCTGTAGTATACAGTTGTCTCTCAGTATCTGTAGGGTATTGATTCCAGGACCTTTCTAGGATACTAAAAGCTGTGGACGACCAAGTCCATGAAAGAAAATGGCACAGTATTTCCATATAACTACACGTCCTTCTGTATACTTTACGTCTTCTCTAGACTCCTTATAATACCCAATGCAGTATAAATGCTATTAGTTGTTATACTTTGTTGTTTAGAAAATAATGACCCCCCCCCCAAAAAAAAAGTCTGTACATGGTCAGTCCTGGAGCAATTTATGTTTTTCCTGAATATGTTTGGTCCAAGATTAGTTGAGTCCACGATTGTGGAGCCCATAGTACCTTGGGCTGACTGTAGTACCGTTAAGACCCTTGTCAGAGACTGTGGATCCTGATGAAAATCCTTGTCCCTGGGCTGACCCAAGAGCTATGGATTTGCCCTGATGATGTGAGGACATGTGAGGTCCTGACAGCTGGGCCTTTGGCAAGTGTCAAAGAGTCTTCCTAACCACCTTAAAAGTCACTGTCTATTACAGAGGAAGCTTCAGACATCATTTACTTTGGAAGATCCAAGAAAAGGCTGTCAACCTTGAAGTTCATTGGGCAATATGGCAATGCTCTTAAAAGGTAAGCATTTTTTTTTCCCCTTAAGACATACATTATTGATACTGGGAACACTGTTTAGTTAAAGCAACTTACGCAGAATGGTGTAGGCATGTGAAGCTTTAAAAAGAATATAAACTTGAGTCAGGGTGTGACATACTACCTTGTTTTGGAATTTCCATATCCATAACTGACTTTTTTTTTTTTTTGAGACAGAGTCTCACTCTGTCACCCAGGCTGGAGTGCAGTGGCACGATCTTGGCTCACTGCAACCTCAGCCTCCCAGGTTCAAGAGGTTCTCCTACCTCAGCCTCCTGAGCAGCTGGGATTACTGATGCGAGCCACCATGCCCAGCTAATTTTTGTATTTTTGTAGAGACAGAGTTTCACTGTGTTGGCTAGGCTGGTCTTGAACTCCTGACCTCAAGTAATCTCCCCGCCTCTGCCTCCCAAAATGCTGAGGTTACAGGCATGAACCACCGCACTTGGCCCATAACTGACTTTCATCTTTATAACATTTTAAAAGTTAATTCTCCCATGTAATAAGATAAATCCCTTTTCAGGGATTCTTGAAGCAGTACCCCTGGACTTTAGGGCTTTGTTGCATCTCTCTGTTCTGTTGTTTCTCAAAGCATACTTTAACCTAGGTGCTGGGCCTGCAGCTCATTTTTTTAATATGGATTGAAAGGTGAGGACATGAGGCTCACTTGTGTGGCTCCTGCCTGAGATAGATGATTGTTCTTTTGAGCCCCGAATGGACCCTTTCCCCAGCAGCCAAGTCTCAAGCAAGAGTATGGGGCTGGCTTAGCTCAAATTCTTCTGCTTTACTTAAAAAAACATTTGTATCCTCTTAATGACAGGTCAGCAAAACAGAGTGTTGGAAAGAACATCCTGACAGTACATAGTGGTAACAGCCTGCCTGTTCTTCCTTTTCCATATGTGAGATTTAAAACATGATGTTCTTCCTTTTTAATATAGTGGGTCCATGAGAATTGGAAGAGACTTTATTCTTTTTACGAAGAAGGAAGAAACGATGAGCTGTGTGTTTTTTTCTCAGACATTCTGTGAAGAAGAAGGTCTTAGTGAGGTAAGAGTTGAGGCTTTCCTTCTGTTCTCATAGCAATGGTTTTTCTTTCATTTACCCTTTCAGAAGGTGAAGTCTTGTCATGGGTTGTTTCTGATATGATTTAGAAACTTAGGAATATGTTTGGGAAATGGAGAGAAGGTATTTAGACATTCTGGGGACATCAAAGGCCTATCCTCTTGACTCTTTCCTGAGAACATCTTCATTATCCATGTGCTCAATCTCCCAAAATAAGAGGCTCCCTTAGGCATGATGAGCTTTTTAGAAGAAACCTGCAAAATCTTTTCACCATATGTGCCATAAATGGATTGTCATTTTAAAAATAAATAAAATATTGGAGTCAAAGATTTGGAATACAAAATGTAAAGAAATTGAATGCAAAATGGACTTAAAACTGTAACTCTGGTGACCATTATTTCAACTCCGTTAGCTGATCCAGAGGCATTCTGTTAATTATAAGTGCCTGAGTTTTATTATTATGACTATCAGTTATAATTAAATACAACAAATACATGTTGAGGAACTACTCTCTGCCTGGTACTGGATAGACTCTATGGAAGGGGGAAAAGAAGCAGAAGATCATATGGCCGTCTCAGAGTTTTCAGCTTTATCACAAAATAGGGTAGACGTATATGAATTGGATTTAAAAAAACAACAGCATTTAAAAAGAATGCTCCTCAATGAGTCCGTGTGTCTGCCTTTACAGTGATATGGATGGAGAGATTAGAGGGCCTCGAGTGGCCAATGAGGGTTTTATGGAGAGAGTACGACTTGTAGCTGGAGAAGCTGGTACTGGAGAGTAATGGCCCTAACAAGTCTCAGACCTGGAAATGCATGTGGAGTTTGCACGGATGGTGTGCTGCTGTGAGACTGCCGGTGGGTGGGGCTGAGTGACAGGCGCAGTCTGCAGGAAAAAAAGCAGTAAGCCATTTGGGAGCCTGACCTGGGGAAAAATGATGCTTTAAGCATTGATGTTGCATGTTACGTGTGTAAAGGGCTTGGAAAATTGGGCTGACCCTTAATTACAGCTTTCTTAAAATGGGCCATTCCCTTGTTTTAAAAAAAACTAAAGACAGCAAGCACTTCCCATTTCTACTTCCACGGAGGCAACCTCTTGCAACAATACTAACAAGTTCTATCTGGGTGTGGTGCAGTGCCTCTGTAGTCCCAGTTACCTGGGACACTGAACAGGGAGGATCACTTGAGCCCAGTAGTTTGAGCCCAGCCTGAGCAACATACTGAGACCCTGTCTCAAAAAATGCAAAATAGAAAAGCCTGTTCTTTTGACATTTACCTGCATGTCTCTGAATAGCATGCTTGTATTGCTACTTCCTGATTTTATGTAGGCATTATCTATTAACCTCCCGCTTTAAGAGAGGATTTACCTACCCTTTTTCTCAGCTTCTATCATACAGTCTTCTCATCTCCCATTCTCAACATCCCTTTAATTTTAGTTATGGTAATATTCAGTATTCACTTTATAAGACTTTATAAACACTGTTCAAATTATACCCAGTCATAACCTATTCTTTTTCCTTTTCATGAACAACTTATTTCCCCTAAAATTAATAATTGATTGCTTAGATTTTTACGTGTGTTACTGTCTCTGAATGTTTGCTTGGTTTTCTGTGTTCACGTCACTGTGCTAACCCCAGTCTCAAAATGCCCACCTTTTGGTCCCATCTTCCCAGTAAAGTTTGCCCGGGGTCTTTTCCTGTGCTGAGCTCATACTCCTACCTCCATGCCATCCCAGGATCTGCCCTTGCCATCGTCCTGGTGACTCCCTTTCCCTCACTTCTGCGTCAGCTCTCAGATTCTAGATCTCATGTCTTCTTCTGTAGCTTGCTGCCTCTTCCTGGTCCAGCATGTTCTCCATTGACTTCTTGAGCAAGGGAACACAGGGGGCAAAATGTTTGGAGACCTCACATGCATTGAAGGGTTTTTGTTTTACCCTAACACTTCGTGATAGTTGGGCTTGGTATTATTTCTAGGTTGGAATTTCTTTTCCTTCATGATTTCTGAGGTTTTGCTCCATTATCTAGTTTCTAGCGTTGTTATTGAGGAGTCTCAAGCCATTTAATTGCTTAATCTTGTATGTGACCTATTCGTTTTCGGTTTTGTTTTTTTTTTACCTTTACTCTTTAAAGGTCGAAGTAATCTTCTCTGCCTCAGTATTCTGATTTCAATGCTTTGCCTTTGCCTGGTCTATTTACATCCATTGTGCTGGTCACTTGTTGGGTCTTTTTGATTTGGAAACTTAGATTCTTCAGTTCTGGGATAGTTTCTTGTAATATCTGATGATTTTCTTCTATTCATAGTCTCCTTTTTATCTTTTTGTGACTCCTATTTTTTAGCTATTAGATTCTGGAAGTGGTTCTCTAATTTTCTTAGCCTTTCTTTCCTGTTTTTATATTTTCGTTTCTTTTTTCTGGAAGATTTTCTAACATTTGTTTTTGAATCCTTTTGTTACCAGAAAGGGGTGTCCAGACCCCAAGAGAGAGTTCTTGGACCTCATGCAAGAAAGAATTCAAGGCGAGTTAATAGAGTGAAGTGAAAGCAAGTTTATTAAGAAAAAAGTAAAGGAATAAAAGAATGACTACTCCTTAGGCAGATCAGCAGCCTACTGAGTATATCTCTAGTTACTTTTTGATCATATGCTAAAGAAAGGGCTGATTATTCATGAATTTTCCAGGAAAGGGGTGAACAATTCCAGGAGCTGGGGTTTCCTCCCATTTTTAGATCATATAGGGCAACTTCCTGACATTGCCATGGCACTTGTAAACTGCCTTGGCACTGGTGGGAGTGCCTTTCAGCATGCTGATATGTTATAATTAGCATATAATGAGTAGTGAGGATGACCAGCGATCACTTTCATCACCATCTTGGTTTTGGTGGGATTTGCCCAGCTTCTTTGTGAAGCTGGGTCAGTAGGGTCTTTGTGACCTGTATCTTGTGCCTACCTCCTGTCTCATCCTGTGACTAAGAATGCCTACCATGGAAATGCAGCCCAGTAGGTCTCAGCCTTATTTGACCCAGGCCCTGTTCAAGATGGAGTCACGCTGATTCCAAGGTCCCTGACACTTTCACTGAATTTTTTTTTTTCTATAATTGTAGTCTTAATTTCTAAGAAGTCTTTCTTATTCTCTGAGTGTTTCTTTTTCAAGGATATCTCATTTCTGTTTCATGGATTCAATATTTTCTTGTATAACTCTGAAGATATTAATAATAATTGATTTTTGCCCTGTTGAAATTTTCATCTTCTTTTTATGGTTTCTGTTTTCACTGAGTTGCTTAGTTTATGATCATTTGTTCTCTATTGTCATATTAGAGGCTTTTCTTAGATGGCCATTAATTCTGAATATGTTAAAGATTAGTCCAATAAAATGCTGAGTGCAAGTTCTGAGAGTGAGTGGGGCTTGGCTGCTGTGGCTGTCAAAATAATGTGATCTAACTGAGCCTTTCTATTGGAGAATCCTTAATATAATTGTCTTGTGTCTTCCTTTCTGGGTTGGTCAGATTTTTATAAGAAAGACTCCTAGTCTTCTGCCTATAGGCCTGTCAGCTTCTAGGAGACAAATGGGAGTAGGGATCTGAGGTTCTCCGCATCTGCAAAGTTTACTTTCACTCGGTCTGTCTAATCTCAGTAAGGTGCCCTAACAGCAGTGCCTGGCATGTCTTCCAGTCTAGAAATCCATTTATCTTTCCAGAAAATAAATATCCAGACCCTGGGAGTTGGAGAGGAGCTGTTGTCAGATGGGGATCTAGATGTTACTTCTAGTTCTTCTTTCCCTCTACCTCAACTCTAGAGTAAACGCTTGCTGTCAGTCCCTGAGCCTTTCACTGTAGGAATTCTGAATTGCAAATCAGGCTGGCTTTTCTTTCTGGCTTGGGCTTGAGACTGCTTTTCTTGCGCATGCTGTCATCTGCTTTTCAACTTTTAAAATGCTGATTCTGTTGTTTCCTCTGCCATTCTACCCTTCAAGAGGGAGTTGACGTACACTCCATCTGTTCCCATATTCCGAAATGGAGTATTTTAAAATACAATTCTGTCTATACACATTTGTTATATGTCTCTTATACAACTAGATTGTAGGAGGAAAATGAACTTTTAACTTAGTGTTTTGTAATTTGTTTAGATGAAGAGTGGAATTAAATAGATAAGACAAAAGAATAATGTTTTTTGTGTATTTCATAATAAATTGATTTTTTAAAATAGGTTGTAGTTCCAATGCCCTCGTGGTTAACAAGAACCAGAGAATCTGTCACAGATGATCCCCAGAAATTCTCAGTGGAGTTATCTATAATTTATAAATACTCCCCATTTAAAACTGAAGCCGAACTGATGCAGCAATTTGATGGGATCTACGGAGAATGTGGTAAGATCATCAGAACTCTGACAATGTGATGGAAGTATTTGTGTTCAGTGTCTTATGTTTTCTTTGTTGTTGTTGTTCTTATGAGCTCATGTAGATTCACCCCGGGGACAGTCATTTATTTTATCGCTATGAGCTTTGTCTTGAGAGCCTCAGACGTGAAGCACTGTAAATCCTGACACTGGGAGAGGGATGTGTACTTGCATTGAGCATGGGGAAACTGGGTGAGACAAGGCTGGTTTAGGCTGTGACCACAGGGACCCCGCAGTTGCTGCACTAGAGAGCAAACCTGGGAGATACTTACTGCATCATTTGAGATGGGGTCATAACAGGTGTGTAAAGAGACTTAGAAACTAGTAAAATAACAAATTGAAGTTTCTGTGGCAAACAGCACACGCATTGCAGACATTCTCCTCTCGATTAGCAAATCTTTCTCCTGTTCTTTCCACCTCCACCAACTTTCTGTGTGATATGTCGAATGTACTGTATCTATTGACACAGTTGATCCAGGATTTAGACACAGGCATTTAGGCGAAAGCCTATGTTCTTAGCTATTATGCTATTCTCCCTTGTGTTTAAGAACTACCAAAAAGAAAAGTATAGTTAGTTGTCTTTTTAATTTCTCTGATGCTTCTGTTTGACTTAGTATCATAATCAACTGGAAATAATTGGGACTTTTTCTGTTAACCATGCCTTGGTGCAGGGGTCAGCAAATTATGGTCTCAGATCAAATGTGGCCCCATATCTGTTCTTGTAAATGAAGCTTTGTTGGAACACAGCCACACCCATTCATGTATGCATTCTCGATTGCTGCTTTCGTGCTGCAGTGGCAGAGCTGCATTGTGAATAGTTGCAACAGAGACTGTATGGCCTGCAAAGCCTAAAATATTTACTATCTGGCCCCTTACAGAAAGAATTTACCAACACCTGCTATAGTGTATGAAAACAATATTTCTTATTTGTACAATATTTAAAAACGCTTCTTTGTTTTTATATGTGTTGAATTCAGTACTACCAATGAGAGCTTTACCTATAACACAAGCTTGGCTCAGGCTCTTAACAAATTTTATAATGCAAATTATGAAAAGAGTGCCAAAGTTTAAAAATCCACATTGAAAGACTTGTAGTGAATTGAATAGTCGTAAGAGGCACCATACGGTAGAAACTCAACACTCTTTGGCAGGGAGTGAAACTTGCTATAAGATGTGTCTTGGCTTAGCCCAAGACTTAGCCAAACATACTATTTACTAAAGTACAAAAGAAAGTTTTATAGCAGACTCAGTTCCATAGATGAGACGATAGCACAATGACTAGCATTTTGTGTATTTAAAATACTGACAAGTCAAACATCTATTTTTCTACCAGGTACTTTGCTGGTTATTTATAACTTGAATCTTCTGCTTAATGGAGAACCAGAGTTGGATGTTAAAACTGACAGAGAAGATATACTGATGGCTGGAGCTCTGGAAGAGTATGTGTTTGACAGAATGTCTTTCAACAATGGTGGTGAGCTAGAGTTAGGAGCCCTGCATCCTGGCTCCAGGTCTGAGGTCACTGGGCCTTAGCATGGGACAGTTCATCTTACCCTAGTTACCAATAAAGTTAAGCTAGACCACTGGTTTCCAAACTTTGTCTAAGCCTCAGAGTGACCTGGGATGTTTCTTGAGAAGTATAGGATCTGGGGCTCATCTCAGCCTACTGAGTCAGAATGTCCAGATATCAAGCGTGTAGGTATCAGTCTTTTTTCAAACATTCTCCAGGTGATTTGGAAGTGCCAGTATGTTTAGGGACCACTGGAATATAAGATTTCCAAAGTTCTCTAATACCTTGATGTGGTTGTTCAGTCAAGGTGGTGGCAAAAATATTAAGGGAAAAGTATTAGGGATAGTTATAGGAAATAGTCACAAAACCCCCTTCGAAGGCCAGGTGGTTTACATAGCTTCAGATGAGAGAATGGGGGCTGAAGGCAGCTAGTTCTTTTATCTTGAGGCTTGAAGCATAGAGCAGTTAACAGGGGAATGTAAAGGCGTTTATCTAAATGGCTTGTTGTCCTAAGACCAACTGTTGCCGGTCCGCACTTGACTGTCTCCTACTGGGGGTTGGCAGAAGTTTATTACCCACAAATGGAGTTTGCTTTAAGCCTCAGAACCTGGCCTTTAATCTTTACCCTCTAGTGGTGTGGACTCAAAGCCTTTGTCATTTAATGTGTGCTGAATAAAGGCCAGCAAGGCCAGGGAGTCGGGGCCAGCAGCCATTAACTTCTTTGGGTGAGTGGCCATGGACAGCCCAGCCTGCTCTTTCACTGTATTCTGTGTTTGAGTGAATTTATTCATCTGTTATGGGGTTGGAGTCTGCCTGTTGGACCCCATCAGTGGTGCCCCTGTATGAGGAAACTCGTCACTTTGACTCCTAATTTATAGATATTAAAACTGAAAAAATAAAAAGTTTATTATTCATTACAGATCATTAAAAATGGACAGGCATCAGGATAGTGTGAAGCAAAGAGGAATATGAGCAAATGGCAATTTTATTATTACTTGTCAAGATGTCTCTGTGAGCCGCATATTTGCAGTAAATAAATAAACAGACATTCATTTTTTATTGGCTACTAGGGATCTCTAGGGAACAGAACAAGAAGATATTGAGAGGCCTGTATGAAAGGGTGTGGACAAAGAATGAAATAGTCACAAAAGCTAGGTTTCTCTCAAATAACACTATTACTTAAAACTTAGTAGCGTGAGCTGGCAGTTTTTTGGTCTCAGAACACTACAGCTAGAAGAGATTGTAAAGGTAATTTAATCCAGTGTGATTTATTTTGTATTTCAGTGTTGTATAATAGAAATATAATGAGAGCCAGAATGAGGGACAAATGGAATCTTAAATTTTCTGGTAGCCACATTAAGAAAAATAAAAAGAATAGGTGAAATTAATTTTAATAATGGTTTTATTTAATTCAATATATCTGAAATATTATTTAAATTTCAATATGAAAAATATTGATGATATATATATATATATATATTTTTTTTTTTTTGAGACGGAGTTTCACTCTCATCACCCAGGCTGGAGTGCAATGGCGCGATCTCGGCTCACCACAACCTCCGCCTTCTGGGTTCAAGCAATTCTCCTTCCTCAGCCTCCCGAGTAGCTGGGACTACAGGCGCGCATCACCATGCTCAGCTAATTTTTGTATTTTTAGTAGAGACGGGGTTTCACCAAGTTGGTCTTGATCTCTTGACCTCATGATCCACCTGCCTCGGCCTCCCAAAGTGCTGGGATTATAGGCGTGAGCCACCACGCCCAGCTGATATTTATATTATTTATATTTTAATGCAAAGTCTTGGAATCCAGTGTGTGTTTTGCAGCATACTGCAAGCATGAATTTGACTAATGCCCAATAGCCACAGGTGGCAAGTAGCTACCATACGGCTTTAGAATAAGGTGTTAAGACCCAAGAAGACACATCAGCTTCACAGAGAACTTATTTTGCTTTTCCCTATGAGGTGAAATTTAGAAATTTCTTTCCACAGTTAGCAAATTTAATATTTGATAACACACTTTTAGATTATCTTCTCTCCTTGTTTCCGATGTATATTTTTTCTCATATTCCAATGTGGAATTCCTGATATACACAGAAATGTTTTTTTTCTTTTGGAAAAAATATTCAGCATAATGGCTGTTCCACAAATGCTGGGAACCTCTGTGCCAGCATTAATATGCCAGTGTCAGAAAGGAGTCCCAGAATTATCAGCATCTCCGTTACTGTCTTCCCCTTTTCCTGCTGCCTCTGCCCTTCTACTTGCCAGCTGGTTCCAAAACCGATATTTCATGCTATTTAAAAGCTTTGAACACACATTTTGAAGCAGTTATCTGTCAGAGTGCCTTGGCATTTCTACACTGGCATTAGAAAACAATATATTATTAGAGGAATAATTTGACAGCTATATCTTTGGAAAGATGTTCTTGCTGTTTCCAGATTGTGTAATGAAGCCAGAGCTTCTCTAGCCATTTAGGCAGTTAATTACAAAATAAAGAAAATGAATCAGACCTAAAACATGTACACTTTCACTTTGGCACATGGATCACACTGGATTTTTACATTTGTTTTTCAGCAAATTTTTTTTTAGTTTGATCACAAGAAAAGCCTTTAAAGACAGGGCGTGAGGAAGAATCAATTTTATAAGGAAGAATTCTTTAGCGTTCATAATTTCTGAACCAAGGATGCTATACAGTTCATGACCTCTGACATGAGTACTATGATGGAGCCAGGAAGGGACAGCACCACCACCTCCTTGGTGGTAGCAGTGCCTCTGTAGTTTTCTCCTGTAAAAGGTTTGCCTTTGGGCTGGACGTGGTGGCTCATGCCTGTAATCCCAGCACTTTGGGAGGCTGAGGTGGGTGGATCACAAGGTCAGGAGTTCAAGACCAGCCTGGCCAAGATGGTGAAACCCCGTCTCTACTAAAAATACAAAATATTAGCCAGGTGTGGTGGCATGTACCTGTAATCCCAGCCACTTGGGAGGCTGAGGTGTAGAATTGCTGAAACCCGGGAGGGGGAGGTTGCAGTGAGCCAAGATCGCATCACTGCACTCCAGCCTGGGCGACAGAGCAAGACTCCATCTGAAAAAAAGAGGTTTGCCCTTAAATCCACCTCATTATTTATTTTGACCTACTGTCTCCTTCCCATCACTCCTAATCTCCCTTTAAACTTAGAACATATATATATACGTATATATATATATATATATTTTTTTTTTTTTTTTGACGGAATCTTACCCCATCGCTCAGGCTGGAGTGCAGTGGTGTCATCTTGGCTCACTGCAACCTCCGCCTCCCAGGTTCAAGCAATTCTCATGCCTCAGCCTCTCAAGTAGCTGGGATTATAGGCATGTGCCACCCAGCCTGGCTAATTTTTTTGTATTTTTAGTAGAGACAGGATTTCACCATGTTGGCCAGGCTGGTGTTGAACTCGTGACTTCAGGTGATGTGCTCACCTCAGCCTCCCAAAGTGCTGGGATTATAGTCAAGTGCCACCACACCTGGCCAACATACTTATATTTTTAACTTGTTAAAAAAATGGTATATAGTTAGCCACACAAAATTGTGGATAATGGTGTGGTCCCATAGGTTCTAACATTTATACCCAATTACTCATCGATAAAAGACTAGAAAAAAACATTAATTCTTAGTCATAAAGGATTAGTTCTGGTCCAAGGTAGATCTTTTTTCTAAGTCCTCTTTCTTTTATGTTTCTGATATTTGAGCCTTTAATCCAGTGCATTTTATAATATAACACCTTTTTTTTTTACCATTTCTTTTTCTGGTGATTATTATATCCCTTTATCACTACTGGATAGGATTCTACATCTGTACAAAACAATTTTCAGATCTTGAAATGATGTAATTTTCAGGTTTGGTCTTAGACAGTAGAGTCCTGTTGATTCTGAAAATAATTTAATTTTCTGTGTAGGAATATGAAAATTCAAACTTTCAAGCTTTTATTGGGCCTCAGGGAAGAGGTGTTTTGTTATTATTTATTTTCCTCCTAATATCATTTATTATAAAATCAAAAATGAAACATTGCTTTAAAAATTTTTTAAGGAAATTAATTTCTATATTATGATTAATTTTTATTGCATTTTACTGTTTTTAAGTATAATATTTCATTTTTTAGAATTATGATTTGCCTCTAAACATTATTCTAAGTTATCCTCTAATCTTGATATGTCATATTTCATAAGTGGCTTATAATAGTCCATTGAATTAATTCGTTATACTTTGCACAATTATTCCTGTATTTTTGGATAGTAGCATTGGTCCCAACGTTTCACATTATCTATGGGTAATGTTGAAATAAACATTATGTAGATGAGCTTTTTTATTTTTTGAATTTTTTTAATGATAAGTTTCCAGGAAGGGAACTACTGAGTCAAAGAGTCTGAAGTTTCATATAATTCTTGTGAATATTTGACATTTTTTTTGTTTGTTTTTTGTTTTTGAAACATAGTTTTGCTCTTGTTGCCCAAGCTGAAGTGCAGGGGTGTTGTGATCTTGGCTCACTGCAACCTCCGCCTCCCAGGTTCAAGCAATTGTCCTGCCTCAGCCTCTCAAGTAGCTGGGATTACAGGCATGTGCCACCACTCCTGGCTTTTTTTTTTTTTTTTGTATTTTTAGTAGAGACGGGGCTTCACTGTGTTGGTCAGGGTGGTTTCAAACTGCTGACCTCAGGTGATACTCCCACCTTGGCCTCCCAAAGTGTTGGGATTACAGGTGTGAGTCACTGCACCTGGCCTTGACATTAGTTTTAAACATAGGATTCAAAACCTTTTATCATTGTGCTTTGGGCTGAGGCACTAACAGCAGTAATCAGACCAGTGGCAGGGTCTTCTGTCAAGATGACAAGCATGTCAAGAGAATTTTAGTAGAAGTGATGTTCAAGCGCATGGTCAGTGGTGTCCTGTGGTTTGGCAA